AACAGCTTTATTCCAGCAGTCACCTGAGTTGATTCAAAGAGAAAGAGAGAGATAAATTAACAGGAAGATAATGGTTCAGGAAGGTGACTCCTGGCAAGAAGATGTCTCTAAAGGAAGCAACCAATGAGACGAGGAACTTGGCAATTATAAAAAGAAAGAAATTTCTTAACATGCGAGTCCAACTTATGCGTAGATTTGAAATAGGCCAAAATGAAAGAACTATTATTGTTTAGTAGAATTCCTGATGTTAGCAAAGAAGAGGCTTCGGTTTAAAAATGTCTACATTGAGTCAATTTGAGTCACGGCAAAGTAATGAGAGATTTACCGACCGTTGTAGATGCTTTCCCAAGTAAATATAGCAGAAAGCGAGACAACATAACACAAACTCTTCTCAACATCGTCTTTAAAAATATATATTATTTACAGACAATAAAATTGACGAAGCAACAGCTAAATTAGCGCATTTATTATATCCGAGATTATCACAATGGTGTCCATGAATGAAGGCAACCAATTTCGGTTCTACTCGAAGATATAACTTGATAATTGTGTTAACACACAGTCAATGCAACTGCAGCACTGCTTCATTTTGCAAGTCCGGCAGTATTTCTTCTTGACGAAGTCGTGCATCAAAACCATTGACATTGGATATTTCCTTGAAGCAGTATTTTAGTACCACCATGAAAAGCATATTAGTTTGAGCAAGCCATGTACAACATGATAGACAGCTCCAGTCACATAAAAACCTTGATTCACCAATGGCCTAAGTGGAACAAGAAATTCACAATATTATCTTTAGCTGGGAATCAATTTTGCTGATCTCAACACGAAGGCATCATCCTGTAAAAGAAAATTTAGATTTCATCATTGCATCATACACTTGCGATGTTTACAGACTTTGTTTGAAAAAATAAATGCAAGAAAATATAAGGATTTGCAAAGCCACACCATTGTCTAGAAGTCTCTTCCTCGGACCAACGAAACAGAACTTCAACACCTTGCTCAAAAAAGTATTGAAAACCAATTTTCAGAGCATTGGCAAGCATATCTTTGAACGTCGCTTTCGTCTTGCGACTGCAAATGCTATTGAGTAAGGTAAATAGGCCTTTAACAAAACGCTGTCCCGCTATTAGCCTTTACGTATTTCTTATGGCATAGACTTGACATTCGCATAGAAAAGGCTTTTCGTCTTTGAAAGCCTTAAGCTACAAATAAACCATATCTTCTGATACAGATTTTTGTGGCGATGTTTCACCAACTACGTTTTGATCACTACAAGTAAATAAGGTAAAGTCTTCACTAGCTGTAAAATTTCGCGGTTAAAAAAATATTTCCAGATTTCAAGTAGTAGCTACTTTCTATAAGTTAATATTTTATGAACACTGTCAGTATCCGAGAGGAAAAAATTGTGACTGCCAGCAACGCAGCTAGAGGTATAGGCATAACCTTTTCTTAATAAAGTGACTACCGGCAAAATAAAACCTGTTTACATGTGGAAAATGGGACCGATCCAGTTCGGGATCGATCTCGTTTGGGAACGATCCCAAAATTTTTGCAGACGTTTAGATGGGACCGATCCCAATCTTACTGGATCGATCCCAGATCGGACTGCACTGCTTTTCGGCTCCTTTTGAAAGGAATATTCATGCATGTGCATTGCATATGCCATCAAATTGTAGGAAGATTGAGAAGAGCATGGTTTGAAAGAAGATTGAAAAGAAAATGTTTTGAAGGAAGATTGAAAAGAAAATGGTTTGAAGGAAGATTGAGAAGAAAATGGTTTGAAGGAAGATTGAGAAGAAAATGGTATGAAGGAAGATTGAGAAGAAAATGGTTTGTAGGAAAATTGAGAAGAAAAGGTTTGAAGAAAGATTGAGAAGAAAATGGTTTGAAGGAAGATTGAGAAGAAAATGGTTTGAAGGAAGATTGAGAAGAAAATGGTATGAAGGAAGATTGAGAAGAAAATGGTTTGAAGGAAGATTGAGAAGAAAATGGTTTAAAGGAAGATTGAAAAGAAAATAGTTTGTTGGAAAATTTAGAAGAAATGGTTTGAAGGAAGATAGAGAAGAAAATGGTTTGAAGGAAGATTGAGAAGAAAATGGTTTGAAGGAAGATTGAGAAGAAAATGGTTTGAAGGAAGATTGAGAAGAAAATGGTTTGAAGGAAGATTGAGAAGAAAATGGTTTGAAGGAAGATTGAGAAGAAAATGGTTTGAAGGAGGATTGAGAAGAAAAGGTTTGAAGAAAGATTGAGAAGAAAATAGTTTTTTGGAAAATTTAGAAGAAATGGTTTGAAGGAAGATAGAGAAGTAATGGTTTGTAGGAAGATTGAGAAGAAAATGGTTTGAAAGAACATTGAGAAGAAAATGGTTTGAAGGAAGATTGAGAAGAAAATGATTTGAAGAAAGATTAGGAAGAAAATGGTTTGAAAGAAGATTGAGAAGAAAATGGTTTGAAAGAAGATTGAGAAGAAAATGGTTTGAAGGAAGATTGAGAAGTAAATGGTTTGAAGGAAGATTGAGAAGAAAATGGTTTGAAGGAAGATTGGAAAGAAAATGGTTTGAAGGAAGATTGAGAAGAAAATGGTTTGTAGGAAGATTGAGAAGTAAATGGTTTGTAGGAGTATTGAAAAGAAAATGGTTTGAAAGAACATTGAGAAGAAAATGGTTTGAAGGAAGATTGATAAGAAAATGATTTGAAGGAAGATTGAGAAGAAAATGGTTTGAAAGAACATTGAGAAGAAAATGGTTTGAAAGAACATTGAGAAGAAAGTGGTTTGAAGGAAGATTGAGAAGAAAATGGTTTGAAGGAAGATTGAGAAGAAAATGGTTTGAAAGAACATTGAGAAGAAAATGGTTTGAAGGAAGATTGAGAAGAAAGTTCTTTGTAGGAAGATTGAGAAGAAAATTGTTTCGAATTGAAAATTATCAAAAAATGTTATTGAAGCGATGAAGGAACGGCTCTACTGCTGATGATCAAACATTAATGTACAAAGCAAATCACTCTCATAAGTTGGAGCCTGTTCGCTAATTTTTCGATAAACTCGTGAAAACTAAAAAACCTTCTCCATCTCGTTTTGCTTTTCTCATCTTTTGGACGAACAAGGCGCACCAAATTTGATAAAGACAAGGTCGAAGCACCATGTTCAAAGCATATCAAACTGCATAGTAAACGAGCCTCGATTCTTATCCGTGCCAAATTAGGATCGATTCCACCTTTGCCGGCGTTTACACGAGACGGGGTCGATGCCGGCTTGTAGCGCTCCTGTGTAAACGGGCTCTTATGCATATGTTAAAAGAACTTCCTCTTTTGAAAGCAACACAAAATTGCCAGCTTTAAAGAGAGTTGCAGGCCAAAGCACAACAGCTTAAAGGAGGTAGGAAAAAAGAACTGGCAAGTGACATCGCCACACAAAGCATCACTTTACAAAATCTAAGTTTTGCAAGAGGATAGTTTCGCAGAGAAGGCTTGGCATAAACGGGATAATAAGCAACTGACAATCAGTGAAAAATACAATATTCTCGAGCCTAAAATAGCTTGTGTGACATCAATCAATATGTTAAAGAGCAGAGGGCTAAGGATATATCCTTGTTTCCCACAATATGCCATATGCTGACACTCAAGCTTAACACACCAGCAGAATCTTGTGTACATTGCCTTAATTGTGAATGAGGTATCAACTTGCTCTTTTTCTATTTTGTTCAAACGTCGTCTATGACCAAAAGAATCATATTTTGAAGGTTATTCAAATCTGTATTTTAATGTTATATCTCTAAGTATATTATTACTGAACAACCAAATTGCTATACCTGGATGATACTGGGGACCACAATAAATTAATTGGTTTATAATTTTAATTCTCTAACGTTTAGGGTAATTTTCCCTAAAAGAAAAAAATAGATCCCAAGAATTTAAACGAATTCCATCGTTTAAATAACACATTTTAGACATCGATTTGGACCAATTCACTGTTTTTCAAAGTTTTAAAGTCAAACGGCACTCAGATGCTAGAAAAGCTCACAAAATTTCCTTTATTTTGAATTTTATGTAGGTTCGTAGATATGTAAGCTACGATGCTGAAATAGTGAGTGACATCACCATATAGGACAATAAATAAACAACAGTGTTTGAGAAAATAATGCGATAGAATAAAGTTAATTTAAGCAAATGATGAAATTTAAAAACACAGTACAGGTTTTTGCAGCTTATGAATAGAAATAAAAGAAAGCTGTTGACGCAATCCGTGGTTTTTGAAAATCATCACAAAAGCATTGCGATAAAACCACAGCACGAAACTCCGTAGTCCTATATACTAATATGCCTAAATTCAAATCAGGGCAAGCTCTGCTGCCCGCGGTCGGACGGTCACAAATCGCCTGTTAAAATAGCCTCCTAGATCCCTCTTCCCCGTCCTGCGCCCTCCTCTTCCGGCTGGCCCGGCTGGCCCGAACAGTGCGGGAATCGCTTTTTCGTTTCGATCTGAGTCGGCTTTCCTGCCTAAAACTCCTCGAAACAAACTTTTTTTCGGCGGAAGTTGCCTTGCTTGCGGACCTGATTGCCTCTCCAGAGAAAAGGTTACATCGGGTCGTTAAGCGTGTTAGGCTTTGTCGCGTGGGTCGTTAACCGCCACCTCTTTGTGCGGAGGGCAATTATCTCCGCAGAGTTGCTCTGCCAAGGCTCTGCTAATCACCGTCGATTTTTTGGCACCAGAAAAAGGTGCTGCGTCACGGCTCGCTTCTCCCTTCTGGATGGAAGCTTCGATTCGAAATTTTGGGAATCAAAACCGGTCGAATGCGACACCTTTCTCCCAAAAACTCAGCATCGTACGAGCAAAAGTTATGATTGTCATGATTATCGCCTGTACATCGCTGTACAGTACATCACTGTACGAATCC